AGTTTTCATAAGAAAACTTTTAACTTCCGCTATTCCTTTTCAATTGTATATAGCAAAGACTTGCGGGTTTCAAACCATTAAGTGTCGGCTCAGGCCGTACCGGTGGGCTTGGCGCGTGCCTACGTGCACGGCATAACACTTTGGAGATATACTCCAACTAGCTTATCGCCTCGCCATGGCCCAGCCACGGCCCTGCCCTAGCCCAGCCCTGCTGCAGCAGGGATCTGAGCTGGCTTGTCCGGGGCAGCCGTGGGGCCAGCGTGGAGCGCACCCTGCGGTGGAGACCCATAGCCCCTTCTGCCTTTCAGTGGGGCCTGTAGCGCTCGAGCCCAGAAATCAGCGCTCCTGCAAAGCTATTACCTGGCTATTTTTCCTGCGCCACAGTTGGTGCACCTCTGTGGAGGCAACTCTGAGTCGGAATTACGGTTGCAGGGAAAGAATTAGCATATTGTGGTTACTATTATGGTACACATGATAGCATATAATTAAAAAGCCCTCGCAGCTCAAGACTCTTGACAGATAAAAATGGAAAAACACGTTATGTCACCACTACGTGAGCCTGAAAATAATATAATTCTGTATAAAAGTCCTTTTATGAAGCCGTGCCTGCTTCATTCTACCAACTGCAAAACAAAAAATGAAAAAAAGAGAAAGGTTTAAAAAAAAAAAAAAGGGAACATGACTTCTTTTGTTCTATTTTTATTATTTACCTCTGACCTGAATTCACTGAAGCTGCAGCTATGCTCCTGACAGATCTCGGTAGCTGATAACAAATGTTGAAATTTAATGTCCAAACCTGGGGTCAAATTAAGTTTCCTCCTGAAGTTGCAGAGCATCCTGGAACAAAGGGCTGCAGCTGCTTTTCAGCTGTACAGTGCTGTTATCTGAATGTCAGAATTTGAGAGAAGAAATTGGTTATTCCCTAAATATGTTTTTAAATGTCTTCAAGAGAAGACCTTTTTTTCCTTACTGCTTCCAGCAACTAATCATCACCTCAGCAAACCAGCACCTGGCGCTTTTCCCATTTTTTCTTAAGTTGCAGGCCATTTACATTATGTCAAATGTGTGAGGTCTTTCTTCTTCCCGTAATCGTCTTCAGGAGCAACTAACATTAACTAATCATAATCTTCTTAAAGGTCACTGGCAGTTAGGCCTTTTTGATCCTTGGAAAACAGTGATATAGAGATATTTTTAGTTGATTTGTAGGTTAATTCTAGTTTAATTCTAGATTTTTTTTTTGCCGAGCAATGTGGGGAGATACTATATGTGGTACAAACAAATATTACTTCTCAATTTCTCTCTTTTTTATGTTGTTATCTTATATATTTATTTTATGGCAACAGCATCTTTTGTGCCAGCTTCTCTGTATGTGAATAATAAGTAGATTCTGTGCTCTAAATAGCATAAAATATAAATGGATCAGACAGACAAAAGAGAATAAAGGCAGTATTATCTCTATTTAAAAGTGAGAATACCTTTACTATTGACTGTTCCCTTTTTATTTTTGGTGTATGTGGGTGAAGATGTCTTGTGCTCAGATTTCCATTCAATGCTGAATTTAAACAGTGGCCCCTTGCCTGAATGCTGTGTAAGACATGCATCTGATATGCTTTGTGTTTGTATTTCTTCAGCCCCGGATCCTGCCAGAATGATGTGCAGATAGCCCACCTCCCTGAGACAGAGGTCATAATCTATTGTGATTACATTATCCCCTGTTCGGTTTCAGCCTTTTCCCTGAATTTTGGTTCTGACTGAATGAAAGGCTCAGTCCTCTGTTATTGTAATCTTTCTGTTCCCCATGCCCCTTGTATTCCTCACGCGCTTGAGATGTGAGCTCCCAGCTGGGCTTTCGGATGTGCTCAGCAGATACGTTCCCTTGCTTGCTGCAGGCGGGACAGTACTGTAGTGGGAAGCACCATCACCTCCTGATGTCAGCCCTCGGCGTACTGGGGCCCTTCTCATTACACAACATATTGCCTCATCTGTATGAGGGGTACTAGGCAAAAACTTTCTGGTTTTTGTTTCTTTTTCACATGGGCCATTTGAAGTTGTTGCCTGCCTTGGCCCCCTGTGGGGTTTGGTACTTTGTTGGGTTGCCTGGCACCTCCCATAGGAATGGGAAGCTTTTGTAAGCTGAGGTTGCGAAACCTTTTCCCCAGAGCTATCAGTATTCGCAATGGAGGATAAATGAGAGCCATGCACTTGCCACCATCACTGAATTTTTGCGGTTAGTAACTTGCTCCCTGGTGCTGTGCGTGCTTATTTATACTATTCAGTGGCTTTTTCATGATGCTTTCTAACGGCTACCTCTGTGCTTTTTATTCCAGGATGAGCTAACAAAGTCCGTCCATTCCCCAGCTCTCACCTAGCAGCTTCCTCTTGGCCTGAGCCTTTCCCTGGTGTCTGTCAGGACTCCGCTGCCAAAAGCTGAGTGCTGCTGGCTGCGTCCTACTTCTGTCATGCCAAAACTGTACCTCTAACAGCAGCTCTAACTGCTCTTCAGGCTTGTAGGGACTTTAGGACAGCATCAGCTTTCTGCTCTTTTTTCAAGAGCTCTGCTGAAACCCACTCTGCAGTGGAGGATTAACTGTGTCAAGGTTTTCAGTAGGACTGTGCAGAGTCTGGAAAGATACTTGGCTATCCTCTATAACCTTGGTTTTGAGCATTTGCTCAATGGCTTTCAGGGTCTCACTGGGGTCACACAGGAGCCGATGGCTATTAAGTACAGGAAAATCAGCTCTCCTCAGCTTTGCATTCAGTCTGTTTAGCAGTTTTTAAGGTTTGGTTTTATGGTCCTATGTTCATTGCTTGCTACTTAGCATTTTTCCCACTGGAGGGTTACATCAGAGAGAGAGCCTTTGGGGACTGAGCTGCAGCTCCAGTGATGCTCGCTGGCTCCCGGCAGCCCTGCCAGCACTGGCTTATCCAGCTCTATAGATCACAACCTTTGCTAAGAGCAGAAACAGTGAGTCATTTTCCCTCTGATAAAATAGGTGTGTGTCCTCAGTTGCTGATAGTGGGTAGCGGCTTCTCCGCTCCGGGGCACAGGGTCAGCGTACATCTGCGTTTAATCCGATCCTCGCTGCAACGGGGCTGCTCATGCACCTCCTTCTGGGTCCCGTTTGATATCCCGTCTTTGCAGAAGTCCCTATAGAAGTCCTCTGTGCAGTGGCTTTTCTAGGGCTTCCTGCACATTTTCTTGTGTTTTTGGGAGGAGGCAGCAAGGGTCTCTGTTGCTACTCCTCTATGTGACCACATCTTTGATCTGAATCCTTTTATTCTGCTTGACAGAGGGAGGTGACTCTCTTTTTCTCACATGGAAGATATTCTGTGGGATTACTTAGCTTGCACTGCTCTGTTGTGGGTGGGACTCCTAGGGGTCCATTGCCATCAACTCAAAGTGACAGTGTTTCCTTTCACTTTCCTATCTTATTTACAGCCTACATGCCTTCCCACAGATGGCCCCTGGAATGATTTTTAAAAGCGTCTGCTTCTCTGCTCTGGTATTACTACTTATCAATACTGTTGAGATTATGTTGTACTTGGCTTTGCAATCCAGCTAAAATTGGCCATTGGTCTAATAGCGTAACTGCAAATATGGCAGATGGTTGGCAAACAGGCTCTGCAGCAGTGAGCGCAGCCTGAACGCATGGCAAACAGCGGCGGTTGCATAAGCACGCTCATGTGAACTTGCATGTCGCTAGCACAGGTATCTGCCTGTAGCTGTAGCAGGCTGAGTTTCAGCTTTGCCTTGACACTGGGTATTCCTTCTGGTTTCCAGCCTGTGAAGAGATAGATGCCAGGCTGTCTTATCTGGTGATACCTACAGCCAAAGTAGGGCAGATTTTCCTATCCCTGCTAAAATCACACTGTGAGAATCCTCCTTTTCGTTGGATGTCTGTGTTGAGCGGATGCAGCTGTGCATACTTCTGCTCTTTGTTTAGTTAGTGGTGACTACCTAATGTAACTTTTTTTCCTTATACCTTTACACTGTAGTTTTTAAACTGGATATTTTTCTTTCTGGCTTCCATGCTGTCTCTTTGACACTGGATTATAATGAATGCAGCTTCAGCTGGAGCTGCCTCTTGCGCTCTTGCAGGCTGAGCTTGGATACTTGTTCTTTTCTGGTGACTCTTATTGCTTTGATCCCTTCCCTCAGCAGATTGCCTTGCTATTTCTCTGGAGTGAGATCCATTTCATTGGCAAAATTTAGGCTTTTTTTCAGCTTTGTTTGTGAAACACAACTTGTGCTATCTCTAGCATACAAGGAAAAATGAAGCACAAGCTGATGTGCTGGCTCCTTCATGTGGTGCTGCACCGTGTTGCGCTAGACCTTGCTTCCAGCGCTGGCTGCACTGTTACTCCCAGTGGGGCAATACCACTCTCTGGCACCGTCTCCAGTGTGTGATAGAGACCTTCACTTAGAGGCATTACTTCCCAGAGCTTTGCTTTTCTCTTCATGAGCGTACTACCTCATTTCCAGTTAGTGGTTTCCATTTGTGTTTCAAAAGCATCTTTGGAGCGGTTATGGAAGTTGCTTATATGGAGAAGCAATTTCAAGACATTTATTTAATTAACCTTTACCTGTTTTAAGGGCATCTTTTCACTGCCCAGTTCACTGGACCAACAGCAAGCTTTCCCTGCGTCCTTTTGGTCTACAGGGTTCGCTGGCAAATTTCCATAAAGAAAAACGATGAGTTGTGTGTGGCCATCACTGGCAAATAGTAATGCTTTAATTCTGAAATGCTAGTAGTACAGAAGGATCAAAGACCTGGCCTCGGCTTTATACTGGACCTAGATCAACATGCCCAGAGGCTCAGTTAGTATCATTTGTTCCCATTGAAAAGAATTACTCCATTTCATATCAGCAGAAAGTCTAGAACAGGTGGATCTGGCTTTTTTCTTTGTGTTGTGTCTTGTGGCTTCTGCCTTTCTATTCTAGTGAGGAATGTGCGGGCTCGAGGGATGCTAGGATGCAGCGTCTACCCATCTTTCCATAGGTGCAGCAGAGGACTCGAGGGGTGCGGAAAGCAGGATCTCTGTCGACAGGTAGGTGTAATGTCTGGAGAGGCATCCTGGCTGCAGGAATCATTAATGGTTACCCTGGGAAATTGTTCCTCTTCCCAACACCTCATGTTCTTATTTCTCCCAAGGTGGGGAGAAAATATCTTGACTGTAAGAACTGTCTCATGATATTTGATGAGTAGTAAAATAACTGGTTAGTGCGGGGCCTGAGTACAATTATCTGTCATCATACTTATTTAGAATATCAGTTGCTGTGGCAACTGGAGAGCAGTGGATAGGTGTTCTCGTCATTTATCAGGAAAACCTACTTTTATCAGGGAAACTGATGATTGGAGTAGTGAACTGAATTTGTTGAATCTGGATGGTGCACCTGCTAAAGCAGTGAGGGCGGCTACAAATTCAGCAGCTACTCTGCACCTGTGGAATTATAGTGGTTGATCAGGCTTTGTGTTTTATCATTTGAAAATAGCTGTAAAAGAAAGAATAATTAGCTAAAGACAGAACGTTGCTTAAAAAGTTGCCTGTCGTCTTGCTTCAGAATTTTGAGTAATGACAGTCTTCAGGAAAAAAAACAACCTAAATCCAAAGGATTGCTTAAAAAAAAAAAAAAAGCACCATCTGCTAGTAACTACTCCAATATTCAAAAGTTTGACTTCTCAGTAATTACAGTTCAAATTCTGTTGCTCATTCCCAGCTGGGACAAGGGCAAGTACGTCCAAAATTTATTGCACGATGTCCTTCCAAATGTTGGTTTCAGATCATTTTCATTTAGAAATGTAGAAATTAATTCATAGCTGAACTATTTTATTATTTTTAAAGCCTAAGGAGGGATACCACTTAATCTGCATTGAAATATTTGTTCTTCTAAATCAGCTTTTCAAACCATTTTTGTCTAAATCAAAGTGCCCCCAGTTTGTTGTAATGAAAACAAGATATTTCAGCTGATGCTAAATAACAGCTACTCTCAGCAATGTAAAATGAGGAAAATATTTAAGTTGTAGATTATAAAAATAGGTGTTATGTTATCCATTGCTACAGCTGACCTCATATAAAATAATCTAATGCAATATACAAATGAAAAAAACACAAAATACAATTTTCAAAACCTCTAAACGTCCTAAAATATTAAGAAATCGCTTTGATTTTTTTCTGAGTATTTTTATTAATAAGGGGATACTTTTCTAAATGATGAAACTTTTAGATGACAGCCACTTCCTACCCCTGCGTCCCCCCTAAAAAAAAAGGAAAGCATTTTCCCAGCTCTGTCAGCGTGTGATTTTCTGTTATGAAGTATCTGGCTTGGCTGGCATTACTTGCCCTTGAGAAGATCATCTTGAATAAGAAATGTCAAATTCTACATGCTGCTGAAATCCTTCCTTGCCTCTACTCAGATAAAATTAGCATGTCATCTTGTGAATGGGCATAATGCCAGCAGAGGGAACGGGCATAAGCGTTCATATGTCAGCAAAGTCAGGGTATTAGCAGCCAGATTTCTGTCCTAGAGTGCTGCAGTGTTTTACAGCTTTGGCTAATGCATATCTCATCACTTGTGTAGTTTAAAGGTGGATTAACTCTGGAAAATTCAAAAATACTTTCCACTAAAATGAGTTTCCATTTCTGGTAAATGAGATTTCAGGGCCTGGGAGAAAGAAAGGAAAAATCCAAACCTATACAGCTATGCCCTTCAGAAATGCATTACAGAAGGGTATTATGCATTTTGCAGAAATGTTTTTGTGGCCCAAAAGTGTCTCCTGCTAAATAACTCAGCCCTTTGCGGAAAATGCATCGGTGACCTTCGGTGGCTTTCCCTCTGCAGAACCTTGCGCGTATTTTCTGCTGAACAGGGCAGAAAAAGAGCTCCATTTGGAGTGCAGCAAACCATCTGAATAAATCATGCTTCAAGTACATGACCCGATTTCTTCTCAGCGGAATATACGCTGCTAATGGAAGCGTTCTGGTTTCAATATAGTTATCTTTTTCCTGGCAGTGAAAGGAAAACCTTGAATGCGGATGTATCTAGCAATACATATAAAATCTTGACTGCAAACAAATGACCCATGGTGAGATACTGGCAACACAGTGACTGCACAGCTGTGCCGATCCCTTGCTGACATGAGACAGCAGTGATCTCGCTTACCCTACAGGTTCCCCTTCCATGTTTGCCTTTGAAAGAATTGTAACAAAAGCTAAAATGGGAGTAAAACTTAAAATCTGAAGGGAGACTCAAATAAAATTTAAAATCTAAACTCCCTTGGCCTTTGGAGAAGTATGGATTTGGAGCTGTCATGGCTGAGTGCTATCTCTTTGCTGCCTAAAAGAAAATTCTGTTCTGTTACATTGCAAAATATGTATCTCCATTTGAAAAAAAATTGCTTTAGCTAAGATTTCCGTCTGCTGTCTGGGGCCACCTTTTCACCCTTCTTCCAACCTACTTTTTTGTGTCTCTGCCTTGCTGAATTCACATTTGAAATGTATAAAAATAATAACATTCTATTGCCATTGCTGAAATAACTTGAAGACTTGAAAAAGTAGTATTTTATTTAATGTTCATTCAAACAAAGAGTGCATTTCTTTATTCAGTCCCGTGAGAAGACCAAGAAAGACTTCTATTCCTCAGGATAGAGGTAGAGTTTTCCCCATGATCATATTTTTCTCACTGCACTCTCAACATTTTTTCCTATGAAGATAAAAGTACAGCTGTCAGCAGCCATTTAAACTAAGCCAGCTGATTTTGCACTAGAGAGAACGAGGAGTTATCACACAATCCATTCTGCTGGCTCATAAAATGTGGCATTTCAACATGTGTCTATTCCTCAGCTGAGGATGGCAACAAGCACCTGAGGGTAAAAACAGCCAAGCTGCCACAGTTGTTTTTGCAGCTTTTTACTCATGTTTGCCCTAATCTCCTCCTCCTATTCGGAGGAGCAGTTTGGAAATACCAAGACGAAAGCTTTTTTGGAGGCATATTTTATCTTTTCTCCTCAGAAGATGGAAATCGGGTTTTCACTAACATTTAGAACAGCATCACGCTGGCCAGGCCCTATGGTTGTTACAGGTTCTAAAACATTTTATCTGAATTCTGTCGTTGACTTGAAATGGTATCTGGAAGCTTTTTCTCCATTAATTCAGGATCGTTTTAAGGAAACAGTAACTTTTCCAATTATGTAGTAAACAAATTGTAACTGCAACTAATTACAAGCATTTTCTGACTTTGTTTTATCAGCAGTGCTTATTCCTTGACAAACTGGAGACAGGATGCATCAACAGCAAATGATGATATTGCAGTGCAAGACTGGAGTATCCTTGGACATTTATGTTTGACAGACTTCACAGCGGTGCTTTTCAACTTCACATGCTTTTAATTCTGGGTATCATCAAAAGCATTTCAGTTAATTATTTAAAATGTTTTTTAAAACAACAAAGCACTTCTGGGTTTGTTTTAGTGTTATAGAGCTCATTCATAAGACACATTATAGATTAACTCTCATACGTCTATACTGAAAAATTACTAAACACAAAGTTTTCTTAAAATATATCTTTCATAAACTAGGGATGACATGATATGGAGAAAACTGCTGTTTTCTCTCATTAGTTTGTGTCTAGACTCAATTCTAACCCATTTTAAACATAGATGTTTGTTTTTAGTTTTTAAGTCCTTAGTAAGCGTGATCTACTCTAACTTCAAAGGCAGTGTTGATTTATGTCTCAGAGTTATAAATGTAATCAATGGAAAATGCTGTTACAGGTATGATTCTGTAAAGTGCTAAGCACCATAGGCATAATCCTCTTTTTAATCATATGTTTTAAGTTTAAACATAGAGAAGAACGAGACCATGTGTTTGACTGGGTTTGGAGTATTCAGCAGATTTCAGGTTTCAGCCCTCAGCTTTCAAGCATAATATAAAGGAAACTGGAAGAAAAGTGGTACTTCAGTGAGACATTGATGTTCCAGTGTGCTTTTTGCTGTGGCACATTGTTGTCGAACCCCAGAAAAGCATGAAGGTGGCATTTAAGCTTGTAGCTTTACCCTGTCAAGAAAGGCATTTTGTTTATTTATCTGGCCTTAAACTCCTGCCTGTCTGAAGTTCACAAACGCTTAATTAAACATAAACTCCATGGTATCAAAATAGTACATGTTATAAGGTTATTCATATAACAAAACTCCTACCAGTTAAAAGAATTAGAAAATGACTCCCACATTTTACCAGACTTAGCATGTCTTATTCGAGTAGCTTTAGCACAAGTCATAGGTGCAAAGTTTCCCTCGGGAAAAGTTTTTCTTTTTTGTATATTGAACAACTATAATCTTTCCATCAAACAACCTTGTCCAGTGCCTTACCCTTTCCCTAGCCAAGAGATCCAGTATTCTCTTTTTCTTTCTTCTACATAAACCTTATCCAAAACGACTTTGTTGCCCGCCCTTGCACTTGGTCCATGGCAGCTGTACTTCCTGTAGTTTAAAAAGGCTATGACTGGTATTTTGACTAGCTGTTCAGGATAGTGAAGGGTAAAGTGAGTAACCTGAGTGGCCTTTCGTTACTCTCTCTCCTAGTTTGAGAAGACATGATTGCATGATTAAGGAAATGGCCGTTCAGTATAGAGAAGAAATTATTAATACTTCATGATAAAAAATACCACATGTAGAGTTAACAATCCAATCTCTTTTTTTTTTTTTTTTAAGGTCTGCCTGACTTTGTGACCATGACTAATGTTCGTCCTGTAGTCATACGTATGCCGAGCTCAGTGAACCGTTTCTCCTACTTGAAGGTGTAAGCTGATTGCTATAAGCTTCAGGGAGGATTTCTATCCTCTGTGTGCAGGAATGGACAATTTGCTGTGCACAGCTTTATTTATTTATTTATTTATTTTGCCTCCGTCTGGCGCATCTCAGGATGTAGAATTCTCAATTTGATAAACGATGGTCTGACCTAGCATGGCAAATCCTGTGGTAATGGGATGTTAAATGAATGTTAAATTCACTTTAGCAGGAGAGCTGCAGTAATACAGAAAGTACCTGGTAAATACTCAGAATATTGAAATAGATTTTTTTTTTCAAACTGCTGATAATTTTCAAATTTAACTACAGCTTTGAGGCAGATAAGAGTGTAAAGAGAACAAAACAAACTGGCGCACCAAAAAAAATCTAGAAAAATAATTCTTGACTTCTTGAGTATTTTGGAAAAAAATCCAGAGGGGAAAACAAGTCAATAAAACATGAAAAGGTAGCAATATATCTCGGTGACAAGGAGATCACAGAACTAGGTTGACAAAGTTCATGCATGAACACTGAATTATATATTGCTATTTATAACTACAGTTATCCAATTAGCATTAGATCTCAAAAGTAATTAAAACTCCAGAGGAAAGTGAAAAAACACGGGGGAAAAAAGTTGTAAGTACATTGGAAATGTTCAAAAAATTCCTTTTGGACAACGCATTTGGATCAGGAAGAAATCCCAGGACAATGCAGGAAACTATTGCCTGAGGAGCAGTGTGAATACAAATAAAAATAACCACAGAATCAGATACAGTAACTCTAGCTTACTATGAGAATTTTCACACAATTGGAACAAACCATCAGAAATACCTCCATACATTTTTCAAAGTGCTTTTAGCCCTGCTAAAAATGCCAAGAGAAGGAGTATGCCACCAAAACGGCTGGCTGACAGCTTGCATCCTTGGGACTATAGCTACTTAATAGAAAAATGAGAACAGCCCATAGGCTACTCTGATCTCTACTCTAATGTATGGTGATCAACCAGCCTTGGCTCAATAGGAAAGTTTTTCTTTGGCACCTCCTCAATTTTTATGGGGTTAAAAGCTAGATACTTCCAAGGCCTGCTATGTTTTTTAATAATTTATATAATTTTTTCAATTTTTCAAAAATTTACAGACATTTGAGAAAAGGTGAGTTATTAGTACAAGTTACTACATTTATGCATTTTATTTAATTTTGGAAGTCTAAAAATCACAGAAAAGAGACACTAATCTTCCTTGGGTCCATCAGACAGAGAGATCTCAGTAAACTCTGCTGTTCTGCTGCCCATTAAGCAGAACAAAGCAGCCCCAAAAAATCTGCTGTGTAAATACATAGCTTTCCAACAAAAAGAAACTATGGGTTGAGTCTTTATTTACTTGTACATTTTTATAGCACTGTAATTGTATTGACTTCACTTGAGACATTTTTGAGGCAAACTTGCACCAACTAAGGAACTGAGAGGAAGCACATTTTCAAGGTTTCATATTTGTTGCATACGACAAATTAAACAAAGCACAAATCACTAATGCAATATTAAAATACCTTGGAAATTATTGACATTTTGGAGTCCAAGCAGGAGATTTTTTCTAATGTATGAAGCACTTTATAATGATGAAAATTTGATGAGATAGTACGTAAAAAGGCCGTATCCTGTAACCTTTACCCACACTGAAGAGCACATTTGTTTTTGCACCTTGTTATTGAGGTTACTGAGTCTTTCATCACTGTCAGTTCTCTGTGCCACATATATTATCATATGTGTCTTCAAAGCTTTACACAAACAAGAAACGTGGTGATGCTGTCCTTTTGTCTGAGGATGGCTTCAGTTACACTTGTTAAAGAAGAAAAGCGTTTCCAGTAACCTAGTAACAGTTGAAGAAACAACTAGTTCCCAGAGGGAGGTCGGATCAGAGCCTGAACAAGATTATAATGGGGTGACCAGTGAACCGCACAGTATTCATTTTTGTAACTTTTTTTTAATGGAGTATGCATTTGTCCTTTCTGTTTGCCTTTGTTTTACCTATTGTTTCTTTTCTGCTTCTTCTCCCTAAACAGTCCCCCTAAATTGGAGAACTGTCTCCTAGGAAATGTTAACAGTTGTTAGTCTCAAGTCAGCAGCATTTGTACTTGACCCAAGCAAGGCATGTTCGTATGTGTTACTTTTTCCCATGCAAAAGAGTAAGAAAAAGAAGTCATTTATACCTGCTGCAGTACTTGTTCTAACAGCTGTAGTGGAAATGTGAATTTCATTTCTGAATGTGAAAATTTCAAAATACTAGCAGTAGATGTAGAACATGACCATGAGGCCCAAGCTTACTTGCTTTCAAATACATTTATACATTTTACTTTGTACAAATTTGTGCTCTGAGGTAAATGTGTTAACATGTTTAGGGGCTGGTACGTGCTTTGCGAAAAGCGCTTATACTGTTTAATTAATTATTCTTATTTTTGAGTTAAACCATTCAAACCACTGCTGCAAACCATTTGGACTGTTTAATAGCTTTCTTTGAAGTACTATTGCTTCAAGCATTTAAAGCTAATGACTTGGTCTCCCTCAGACTGGCTTAAATGTAGAGAGGCTTAAAAAAATACATCTGTGGTGGGTGGGGGAGCTCCACTTGCCTTTTAGGGTTTTTTTTTTGTCATTGTGGTCCACTTTTTCAGGCTGACAGTACGGGCTAGCCAGTAGCTGAGGTTCTGGAGTGTTCGAGTGAGCTCAAGGTCTACAGAGTTTGACAAAAAGATCAAATATCAGAACCTTGTAATAGAAGCTCATGAACAGGCAATTTTTTTCTCTGTACCGTGTTCTATTTTCCTTTCTGTACTGTGCTGCAACTCTAAATTGTAAATCTCCCAAGGTGAGATATTTAATTAGCACATGGGTTCAATAAGTAACTGGAACCAATCTTTATTATTTTATTTGAATTGATATTTTGGGAAGTTTGGAAACTGAATACCCAGATTTGTTCAGTGGAGGAATTCTTTTACTGTTACAGAATAATACAGAATACTATGTATATGATCAGCTGTAATTACTGTCGATGTCTAACGCTGATGTCCTTGATGAAGATTTATGGTGCTATCTCTTACTGTTAACTTTGGAGGAAATAGTGTCTCGAATTCTCAAATTGATTTCTCTCCATAAATGTGATGTGCTGTGATGGAAGATGGCCAAATCGAAACCATTTTAAAATCAAAATTTATGTTAATATAGAATATTAAAGAACAAAAGTATTCATCCAAATAATACGAATGCGTTTCATTCCCCCAGTCACGCTGTAACGGTACGTAGCTGTTATCGTCTCGTCAGCTTGGCCTGTCCCTACCTTGAGCTTGGCACCATCTGGAAACTTCAAGGCAAACCCAGATATGAAACAGCTGGGAGGAAAAGCAGAAGACTTTGCAAAGGTTGTGTTTACAAAACAAAAAATGATGCTATAAAACATCAGATGGAACAAAATATATACTGAAATCCAGTGCTTTCTGCTTTGGCTATATCAGGTAAAAGTTAATGTCAGTTAACTGCTGTAAAGCCAAAGTAACTTCATCCTTGGCCTAGGAACCTTGCAGTTGAGTAGAAACACAAAATAAAAATAGCCACAAAGAAGACAACATTGCTTTGCTTTTATTTACTAATGCTTACAAAAGATGTGAATGTATAGCAATGCTAAAGATTACCTGTTGCTAGAGCATCTTTTAAGATGAGTCATTATAAGACATAGCATGAAATTTTTAATGAAAAACAGAAATTGATGGAAAATGACCTTTCTTCTCACATCCTTGTCTCCTCCAGTGGTCTGTTCATGAAATCTTGAATCGCCTGGTGTAGGGGTAACCATTTATTAATTGAAGCTTTTAAAGCTGTAATCCACCTAGAAGAAAGGAAAGACCAACAACTGTCTCCTACTGAGCGGTACGTATGCACTTTTGTTTTCTTTGAAACAGGTCTTTTATAAGTGGTGTTTGTGCAGTCTTGTTACTGTGTATGCAGCTAGTAAGTGGATTGGGGAAAGGCATGAAATGAAGGAGTTAACTATAATAGCAACATATCTCAACACTAGTTTCCAAAATACTGAATAGCTTTGTCTTTTGTTCATTAAATTAAAACACAAATCCTATAATTAGTAGGCTTTACACAAGCAGAATTGCCATTGACAGCATTTAGAATTTGGCTGGATTATGATGATGGAATTTACCTTTAGAAAATGATTTCATAGACTAATTTTCTTTTTTAATTATAATCATCATTGCTGGAAGTAAATCATCCTTGGGAACGAGGAGGATATACTTTTCATTAGTTTGAGCTTCTCTAGTGAAAGGTACCATAGCTTTTCTGTTTAGTGTAATCACCCACGCACCATTGTGGAAGGCACCCTATCAAGGTTCCTTTCTGAACCTCTACAACTGAGCCTCGCTGTAATTCCAGCATCGACAATAACAGAACTGATGACTCACATGTGGCAACATATTGTACTGCAGTGTGACTAAAACTAGAATTAAAGGGAAATCTGGGGGAACAAGTGAAAACAGAATGAAAAGTTGTTGCCAGATTTTCCCAAACTCTAGTGTTCCTGCTTTCCTGAATTTTTGGCAAATAGAATAGAAACAAAAAGTTCAGTTTACCTTTTGTTTTCATTCACATTCTCTGCACACAAGTAGAAGGTTTTAAACTCTTCAGATGGAGGTTTGAGTTCAATTACAGATCTCTTGGAGCCCAGAGACTGTTCACTCACAATATAGCCCTGTAGATAAAGGCCACCTGGACAGAAGAAATAGCATGCATTTGGTATAACGTTGGCACGATTTGTGAAGTTGCTGCCAATTACAAGCATACTGACAATTCTTACAAATTTTATTTGCAGATTCCTTACGTTGCGTGTTTCCACAAAATGATGCAGAATTTACATATAAAGTGATATGCTGAAAAATGCAAAATTTTAGTTTTATTCCAAAAATTGACTTGAAAATAATGTACAATTCCATGTTTATTCTGTCTAAAAGATTGCCTGATCAGAAGTGTTCTGTTTACAATTTTAGCAGTTTTTTAAATTTTCCTCAGCTGCCAGCTTTGGGATTCAATTGGAGTTCTGTGAGGTCAGCTGAATTCTTGCAGCTCTGCCTCGTGTCTTCATTATGAAAGGTCTACGCTTTGGATAAAAAGCAGTGTACAGGAGGTAAGCCTTTTTATTGTTACAGACTGAATTTACCCTCAGCTAATGCTTGTGCTCCCGTTTGTTTTGGCACAGATGTATCTGATTGTCAAGTTAATGGAACTTAAGAAAGTTCTGTTGCATTATGAAAACTCACTCCAGCTCATTCTGTCTTGGCAGCGCTGGCTTGACAGATATAATGGGAATACAAAGCTATAAAAATGCATTTATGTCTCTAAAATCAGCAAGTGTGAATGTGACTACAAAAATAGGAAATCTATTTAGTAAGAAAGTTACATTGCCACATCATTATTTGAAGGATAGCCGTACTTAACGTTATATAAAAGTAAAGCCATACTAAAAGTTAAGACTGAGAAGGAATATGGATGTGAATTTTCAGGATAGCCTCATGGTACGTTCTACAGTCAGTTTCTTGTGGACAGAACTCTAGTCCTGAAAACTGCATGACCTTCCAAGATTCAGGGGTTTGATTTTAGTCAAGTAAACCTAGAAGCTGCTTCAAGTAAACCTTTGAAGTTTCATTTAATCTGTCAGGTACTTTAGACCCATCATTTTATGCACACTGAAATAATAGTTAGCTGAGTCTATCTTCTAGTTCATTGTAAAAAGTGAAATATGAACGAGAGACTTAAATGAAAATAATATTAGCATCATGGAGTGGGCTCTATACCTGTTCTATCAGTATATGACAGTTTAGTTTGTATGTGCAGTTCCAACACAGTGACCATATTTAGTACAGTCTTCCCAGTTTCCAGTCATTAACTCTGGCCAGCACATAACCAGCAATATAGTTTTAGTGATTTCTTCCCAGAAATAAGTTAGCCCATCATATAATATTAAGTGGCAAAATATTTTTTCTAGCTTTTGTTTTTTTTTTCCTTTAAAAACGAAAAGGATATACATTTCAAAATTTAAAAAAATCCTAGAGTCAGCATTGGTTCTCTTTATTTGAAATGCTCCCATTATTTATTGGAGCACCACTGCAGGCCACACTAGCTATCTAGGAAGAAAAGGATTCACACAGAAGTTGTTTTTCATGACAATTTCATTTTAGCCATATTTTTTTCAGATGTCACTTCACTGTTAACAGTGTATGAGTTCACTTTACACTTATATGGTGAATAGCCAAAAAGAGCTATGGAGCTGATCAACTGCAGTTGAAAGCTTCTGTTACTGACTTCAAGTTGTGTATTTTTTTTGGCTCTCTCAGTTAGTAACAAGAGCAACAAACTAATAATGCTACCTCATTGAAAAATTATATGGGGGAGTGAGAATCTGTAGTGAAATTGGAAAGAACAACAAGGAGCTGCAACAACAAGAGGAAAAAAAACACTACAGTATGGAAGAATTTGTATGTAGTAGGATATTTAAACACCAAATAGGCATATTTTGCAGTATGAGCATGGGCTTGAGTGTCACAGATACATAACAGCTAATTTTTGCCTTTCCACTGACTCACTGCTTAGCTTTGGGCAAGTCTTAGCCTCAGTGTCACGTGGGTAGGAAATCACTGATCATTTCACATGTACGGCCTTTTCCAGATGGAAAACGCTATGTAAATGTGAAAGACTATAAAATGGAAAGCCTCTTAACTGATCATATGGAAAATGCATACACCCTAAGAAAAGTTTTCCCTTTTGAACTGAAAGCTGACTGGTACGCAGAGAGTTCAACAGCATTTCCTTTCTGACTGCCAACTTCCTTAGGCCAGGAAAGGGGAATTTACAGGTCCTGACCCACCCCCTCTCCCTGGAGTACCTCTTTTTTATTTTAAATGTCAGTTTTCTCAGAGCTGTGCTGGCCCCAGATTCTCATTAGCGCCTGAAACTCTGCTCCAGGGTCCCTTGTGATTGACCCCTAATAGCCTCACTTTGCTGTCTCCAAAGAGCGGCTGGATAGCCTCCTCTGTTACCGGGAGAAGTGCTAAATGGCAGCACAGCTTTTGCAGATTAACTGCAAAGTACCACAGGCAGCCCCTGCAGAAGGGCAAGCCAGTGGGCCACTGGGTGGAGCTTCTTGGCCAAAGCCATGTGGAAACTGCCTGATCGCAGAGAAACCAGCCCTAGCTAATAATATCCCTCCCTCTGAGGGTGTTATCTACCAGGCAGTAGCAGGCAGCCGGCAGCAGCGTGTGCCCTCAGTGCAGACATCGGACCCCTCGTTCCCGAGGTCGAGCGTGTGGATCCTGGTTAGCTATGTTCAGGAATGAATTCAGACTGCACAAAGTAAAGAAAGGACCATGAGGAGAACGAAGAGGCTGTCTTGTGAGAACAGACTAATTTGCTCTTCCTACCCTCACCTTCATAGAACAGGTAGAGTGAATTTGCTGCTCAGGAACTTTCATTATTTTGAAACTGCAGTGAAACACTCCTGCTTTAACAGTCATCTACAATCCAGTAGTCATCCGTACCTTGGGCAGGTGTGGAGCGAAGAGTGGCATAGAAATACAAGCAGCCGTCCTTCAGGATGCAGTAGTGCTGAACCCAGACGTCCTTGTTTCCCTCCAGCTGGTGGAGGAGCCCGAGGCACTCCGGGTTCTTGATAGCCAGGGGTGGCAGTGTGGTGTTATGCAGTGTGACATCTACCCAGACATGGTTCTATAAAGTAAGCACAAGCTTAATAGTTTCTGGTAAGAAATTAAGGAGGATCCGCTGTTACAAGAAGACGCTACCTCTAGTCCCCTGCTAGGAAATTAGCTTTTGTTGCTGGAGCAGTTTGGAAAGTCAACAACTCTGAAAGTATAATTAAAAATATACACTTGATAGCAAACAGTGACTTGCTTCTTCCTTCTTAAAATAATGGCTTGTCTTTCTGCAGCTATTTTATTTTTCTGTTCAAGTTCTGCCAGTAGAAACAGTAATATTTCAAAGCTGTATGAAGAAGGCTTTTGTACTGTTGTGGTGATTGACTTCAACAGTCTTTACTCTGTGTAACCTGGCAAGCTAAGGTTCACCTTCTACCCTCCGCGATTCCAGAGGAAACACAGGAGTGTCTGAGGCCAGAATACAGCATGCAGGCTTGGATGGAAGTGATGCCACACGTGAAAAGCCTTTCTATCCCTTTCAAGAAAGTACAGTCTCTTTAGTTACTAAAAGTATTCTATTGTCATTTTGAGGGGAGAACCACAAGGCTTTCCATTGTACAGGCTATTTGCGTAAGAGAAGCTAAAAGAAGTCAGGAAGAAGTTAGCAGTTGTTTAATAAGGCCAAATTGTCTAACATGACATTAAAGCATTTCTTTCTCTCCTTTAAATCTAAAAGGTGTTAGGAACTCAACCTCTCCAAAAAAACCTACTGTGTTTTGTTTATTTGCAATACACGCACACACACATACACACACATATATATTTTTTTTTTGAATTCTGCATCAACCAGTATCATTGTCATTTGAAATCCTTGGGGAGAATGTGTACAATATCAATAGCATCCTGATTGTTTCCACTGGGGTTTTCTTTTGCATTTATTTATGCTATTTCTTTTTTATCCTTGACAAGCCAGTGATGGAGAAAAGATCTGAAAAAATATAGCTAGCTGTATTCTTGGCTGTGAACTGGAAACCTGCTGGGACTTTCTGCAGCAAAGTGCAAGAGATGACTTCAGTAATACAAGATATATTCATAGAATAGATACCCCTGTAGGTTCATCAGGAGGACATAGTGTCAGTATATTAGTCTGTTAAATCATTCTGTTGTGAGCCCACCTGTAATACACTAGCTATTCTAAAAATTCAGTAACGAATTATATAGTGAATAGGGGGGGAAAAAAGCTTTCTTTTATTAAGCTGAAGTCCAGTTAAAAACAGGAGGAAGAAACTAGTTGGAAGTAATTTCATTAAGGACAGACGTTGGGCAATGAAAGCAACATATTAAAACAAAATTTCCCTCAGAAAAGGATATTTTTGCTAAAAAAGATAAAGAAGTCAAAAACAAGATTCAGTAGCAGAGAAAGGAGCCAACTTATTGTGTGAGTGCATGAGAGAGTTTTCTGTATGTATAAAGTCGGACCTTTTTACTTTACAGGTTATTTTTGCATGTTACACTAAAGATTTTTTTAAATATGTTTTATTCTCTTGTGTGTGACGTTTTCCTAGTTTTTGTCTCAGGTTATTTTTTATTCTTTGGTTTGGGTGCACAGTGAATATTTTAAATTATTTGATTTATTTTTACTGCTTCAAGTGTTCTTCTAAGAACACTTCTTCTGCTTTATGTTCTTCTAAGAAATAGTGGCAGGTCGGATATCCTTGGACACAAATTAGGTTTTGCACTGATAATCTCATATAAAAACTGAAGCTGAAAGAAATGTATGCATGACTGATTTTATTCTAGTAGAAAAGGTATTAAAGAAACAGCAAACATTTCCTTTCAGTGTTTAGAAACCTATCACTAAAACATACTGCTTGGAGGAGTTATTCATGTGTCCTGCATTGAGAGAGCAAGGAAAGTAAAATGATTTGTTGTTTTTTTTTCCTACTGCATTAACCTAGGATATCATTTGTAACTTACAATTTTCTTATTTTTATTGATTTATTTTTAAGTCTGTTTATTTTTACTTTTTTTCTTTATTGATGGTGTTCCTCTGCAAAAAATATAGACAGTAATACTTTTTCTGCATTTGAGCCTCACATTCCTTCTGCTAAGAAGCAAGCTGGTTCAGTAGCTAAACCTTATTAAAAAAAGACTTTACAGGTGAACAGCATATTTTTGTAAAGACAGGCGTATCTTTAGGAAGGAAGAATAAGAAGTTTGCAGCCACTTTACTAGGAAAAGGAAGCTAAAGTAGCTTTAACCCCTTTGCATACGGGGATTGTTCCCAACCGTGGAAATACCAAAATTAGTTTTGCAGCTCCCAGTTCAGGGGAAGGCTGGGGACTATTTGTACGGAATCACGTTGGGCTGAGCAAGGTCCCTCTGTAGCAGCTCAGGATCAGTTATGACCGTGTTTTTCTCAGCCACATGGGCCATCAGAGAGCACAGCTATATGAAGAGATGGAGAGATGAGCCTTATCTGTGTCTTATCTCTAAAAATACAGAAAAAAAACAGTTCCAGGAAAAAAACCCCTTTCTAATATTCTGTCAGAAGTGACAATGGATGGCCTCAAGAATCGAGGCAGACTTGCAGGGAACACCTAAGGAGATACAGCCCTTCTCACCCTTAATTCCAAATAGCATTACCTGGGGTGGAACATGCCCCGGACCATTTGCTAGAGAGTCTTCACCCCACTGCGCACGCTACCCTTCCTGCCTTCCCACTATCAGCACAGCTACCCTCGTTGTAAGTTATGTCTCTGAATCAGCTTAAAGCTGCTGATATCTGGATGGGGAACATTTTGATTCATTCCACCATATGGCAGCAAAACATATTTGCTGAGGCACAATAATGTGTTTATATGGCTTTTAGATTGGAGCTGATTCACATCCCAGCAGCTCAGACCAGCTTCCGTGTTGCTGTCTGCACCTGACAATGTACAAGATATATCTGTCTCTGTCTTCTGCACAATCTACTTTACACATTCTGCTTCTTGTATAAATAAAGCATTACCTGATGCACAGGATGCACCGCTTTATCCATAGCCTCCAGCCACCTATAAAATGACCAAAAATGAGAATAGCTTAGCTTGGTAGAACAGAATAAATGTGTTTCACTGCCTCTTTTAATTCTTGCTGATGTAGACAGCTTTTAAAGGGATGTGCAATTTTCAGGACAGATTCAAGGCTTCAAAGTAGATAAACAGTGGATTAAATCTAAGTAAATGTTTCTAACTCTCAGAAAATAATTCTCATAGCTTGCTGTATAAGGTGTTATAATAAATTAGGGCACTATTACAGACAAGGTGAATCTATAAATTTTAGCCTGACATGTTGAAATGTCTTCACATGATCATTCCTCTGGTGTCTTTGTTATAATGCAGATTAGGAATTTGTGGGAAACTTAAAACAACGTGAAATTGGACATTACAAAATAGAGTCGTCTGTTGGCAAAGCTTTTGTTTGTGTGCTGTGGCTGGTATAGGAACAGGAAGTGGGAAGTGCTCATATATTACAACTGTCAGTGCCATGTACTAAGATACTGTAAAAGATGGAGGGATGAATCAATCTTAGCAAATATCATCTGCTTCATATCTTTATATTTCTGTTAAAAAAGAATAA